GCGGTCTCGTTGACCGCGGTGACCCTGGAGGCGGACACCACGCGCACCAGGAGATGCTCTTTCCCCACCCGCCCCGACAAAATACGCTGGTTCTCTTGTTATTACGTGTCATCGAGACGACTCTGATTCCTATTGTACAACAGCTCTGAACCCTGCTCCATCGTGAGCCACTTTCACTGTCTATAAACACACCTCTGTGACCAAGACAAAGACATTCCTCTAGGTCGTACAGCCCTGGTGTACAAGTTGCCATCCCATGGTCACTTGTGGTTACTGTGAGGCTGAACCCTGTGACACTAATGTGTCAAATGCATTAATGGTTGGCTACCCAATGCGACTGAGAGTGGGGTGGAGCTTCCCAATTAAACAACTGTAGAGGGAGGAGTGGCATCCTCTTCCATAATAGCTTGTCTCCGGAAACCCTATGAACTTGGAGAGAGGATGAAAGGCACCCAAGCATCAAGGACTCTCCTTCATAAGGTCGCTATGAGTCGCCTGCGACTCAATGGCACTTAACAACAACAACAACAACATAACACACCTTGCCTTAGAGCTGTGGTGCTGGAGAAGAGTATTGAGAATACCATGGACTGCTAGGAAAACAAACAGATTCGTCCTGGAAAGGGTTAAACCGGGTGGCTCCTTGGAGGCAAGGATTCTGAGGCTCCGTCTAACATACTTTGGACATGTCGTGAGGAGAGACCGGTCCTTAGAGAGGGACATCATGCTTGGGAGGGTGGAGGGACAGCGCAGGAGGGGAAGGCCCTCTAGGAGGTGGACTGATTCAATGACTGGGATAATTGGGATGGGAGTGTCAGAGACAGTGCGATTGGCACAGGACAGAGTTTAAGGCTGTTGTACATGGGGTCGCTATGAGTCGCAAGCGACTCGATGGCACATAACAACAACAACAACAACATAACAGACCTACTCCCATGTCCCCAGTCTCTGAGTCCGTCTTCTCTCACCCAGGGTCTTCCTCTCTTGCAATGTCCCTCTACCCTTCCAAACATGATTTCCCTCTCAAAGGTCCCTCCTTGCAACTCAAAGTATGCCAGCCAGAGCTTCAAAATCCTTGCCTCCAAAGGAGCAGCCTGGTTTCATTCTTTCTCCTAGCAGTCCATTCAATACTCTTCCCCAGCACAACTCAGAGGCATTGATTATTGATTCCTCTTCTATCACCCTTAGTCACGGTCCAGCTCTTTGATGCTTAGCAAGTAATCGTGATGACCATTGCCTGGCTCAGGCACACCTTAGTCTCTAGACTGGTATCACTGCTCTTCAACATATACAGCATATGTATATGCTGGCTCTCTAGCATCTTTCAACTCCCCATGAGCATGGACAGGTCAGCAGCGCAAGGCCGAGGCTCAGGAGTGTTGGCTTCCTTCATAAAGATAAATATCAAGGGAGCTCTGGTGGCCTAGTGGCAAGAAGCTGCACTGCAATCCCAGAGCTATGCGGCTCAAATCCACCACTCTGCTGGAGAAAGAGAGGCAATCTCCTCCTGTACCAGTCAGATCTGATATGATGGTACACACATAAAATAATAAAAATTTTCAAATAATTTTTCAAAAAAAAAGGTAACTATCATGAGTTTTCCTAAAGATGACATTTCTCAACTCCAAGGTCTGCTATGACAGGTGCTTCACGCCCTGTCTGTTGGGTTCCCGTCCCCTATTCTCCCCTCTGGCCTCTGAATGCTGACCTGTAGGATAAGCAGGAAATCTTAGGGATCCTGCAGGGCCCAGCTCAATGCCTTCTTGCTTCTGAAAATTCACCCTCCCCAAAGCCCCGCAGCACTTTGTAGAACCTCTTTCCCGCCCCCATTCCCATTCATCTCCGCTAACAAGGTACTGAGGGGAAGGGTGAAGCTTTAGTTCTAAGGGTCCCCCCCCCTTTTTTTTTAAACGGGGTTGAAAAGGCTTTGCTATGGCCAGAAGGGGGCAGTGGAGGGCAGGTCAGAGGCCCTGAGGACGGACAGAACTGGTGTTGGGCTGTCAGACTGGTCCTGGTAACAAGGGTGAAAAGTTAGTCTTTCACAAGGCGCGATGCTGGGGTGGGGGGGAGCCAGGCCCGGGTCTGAGAAGTTCCAGTACTGGGCGGGAGTAGTTGGGCAGAGTTATGGGAGCCCTGCTGGCACAGTGGATTAAGCACTGGCCTAACTGAAGGGTCAGCTCAGAGTTCAGCCGCTTGGAGTGGATGAGGGGGCAACGAGGCAGCACATGATGCATGAACCACAGGACGCACGTCCTTGGAAACAAGGAGCAGTTCCACGCTGTCCAGTAGGAGTATCCAGGCAGTGGGTTCGGGTCAGGAGCCAGGCTTTCAAATGCAGAACCTCAAAGGTTGGCTGTTTGAACTCAGCTCAGGAGAAACCAGCCTGTGAACTGTTTCCGTTCAAAGCCAAGAAGATGCTAGGGAGCAGTTCTCTGCTATGTACGAGGTCTCGGATCCGAGTCTCAGCACCAACTTGGCCACAACAGGTGTGGCCTGGTTTGAGCTGGAACCTGAGACACCACGTCTTCATCCTGCAGCACGAGGCTGTCGGTGGTGGTCACTTCAAACTGGCCACAGCACAAAGAGAGAGCCGGCTGGATTTCCACCCCAGGACCCAGCCCGGTGGCTGGCAGAGATCAGGCACCAGCACACGACCCGTCGCTTTCCTTCCCTTACCCCCTGCCCCCAGATTCCATTCATCATCAACACAACGGAAAACAAAGCACACACAAAAACGAAGTGTCCATCTGTAAAAAGAAGGGTCTGCTCTATTCAAGAGGCAGTGGCACTCTCTACATGGTGGCTTCTTTTTCTCATGCCCAGTGGCACTGAAGGCAGGTTCTTCAAGGCCTCTCCAAACTCCCCGGGAGAGGATGTTCTGGAAGCATCGGGACTTGGCGACAGGGAGCTGGGCCTCGAGGCGTGGGCACCAGTATGGACCCGGGCAGCTTTGTACCACTGGTTAGTGGTCTGGTTGGTGGCAGCCAGGTACAGAACGAAGCACAGGTATCCCCCCAGGATGCAGCTGAGGACCACAACTAAGCCCACCACCAAGACAATCTGTGGGAAGAGCAGGAACAGCATCTGGGGGCAGAGAAGGAGCATGGTCAGGGGCTACTGGATGGTCAGCACCCACCCGCCACGGGCCATCCCCCACCAGCACGGCCCCCCAAGTGTCAGTCAGAACCACAGAGCACGGGCAGGCCGGCGGAACGGGGCCTCGTGCAGGCAGACCTCGTAAAATGCTTCTGAATCAACAATCCTGACAATGCGGTACAGCCACCACCACCGTCCAGCATTTAACTGGGTCTCCAGTGCACAGCCACTCCTCACTCCTCGTCCCACCTGCCTGTTTTCTGCCAATCTTTCTGCCTCTATCCATTTTTCTGTTCTAGACACTTCCGGCAGGGAAGTAGATCATGTCGTGGTTTTCCTTTTGTGTCTGGCTTTGTTCACTCAGCATTGCTGTCAAGGTCTGTCCACACAGACATGGGTCTGGACTTCATTTCTCTTTACGGGTGAGTAAGTAACAGTCTATTGTGTGGCTCTGCACATTTTCCTTGACAGCTCGTCTGCTGGTGGACATCAGGGTGTTCCCACTGTTTGGCTCCTGTGAATGGTGTGTTTCAGGGGTACACTTGGGAGAGAACTGCTGATTCACATGGTAATTCTGAGCTTCACCTTTTGAGAGGTTTTCTGCAGACTGTCTTCTACAGAGGAGATACATGAGCCATGGTGAGGGTCCCAGTACCTCCACACCTCCCCCAACACTTACTGTTTTGTTTGTAGTTTTTATCAGTTGTGCTAATAGCTGGGAAGTGATCCTCATGTGGTTTTTGATTTATACATGACTAATCTCCCCAGCGCAGCTGAGCATCTTTTCATGTTCACATGGTCCGCGGGACATCTTTCCGTGGACGCGTGATCTGTGGGACATTTTCTGTGGCGGAACATCTGAACCATGATGAGGAATGAAGCGCTGGTTCGCACTACAAGGTGAGCCTTCTTGACTCTGCCCCAGGCTGGGAAAAGAGCCCGACTTTCAGGCAAACAGCAGACAGGTGTGTAAGGTGCACAGGCCAGAACCACCAACCATTGTATATCCAGAGGGCAGCGCTAGCCCCTCTACAAGGATGAGAAGTCTGGAGGAGTTAGCAAAGGAGGGTGGACAGAACTGGGCAGCACAAGGCTGAGGACACTGTGACCAATGTCCTTTGACTGCTGTTAAGGACATAAAACAAAATGTGTGAGCTGCTGAACAGAAAACTGATTTGCTCTGTGGACATCAACCTGATTCATAAGAAAGAGGTAAAACATGAAGCTAAGTGAAAGCAGTTAGACACAAGAGGTCACATATTGTATAATCTCACTTATAGGAAAGATCCAGAAAAGGCAAGTCCACACAGAACGTAGATTCATAGCTTCCAGGGGGAGAGAGCTATGGGGAGTGACTGCTAATACCAAGGGTCTGTTTTAGGCTCATAAAAATATTCTGCGATGGATCGTGGTGACGGGCATACAGCTTTGTGAGGATATCCAAACTCGCAAATAGAAATCTTTAAGAAGAATGGTTTTGTAGAATATGAATTATCTCTTTTATTTTTTTCAAAAAAAGGAATGGTTTCATGTTTTCATCAGAAAAATAAATGGCCTTTTCCCGATTTTTTAAAGCAGCCTTGATAGCACAGTGGTTAGTGCATGCAGCAGCAAACCTAAAGGTCATTAGTTCAAACCCACCAGCCACTAAGGGGATGAACAGTGAGGCTGCCATCTTCTGTTAAGCATTCCAGCCCAGAAGCCCGTGGCCCAGGTCTGCTCTATCCCACAGGCTCGCTGACAGCTGGGATCAACTCACTGGAGGTTCCCGACTCTGAAGCCTGAACAGTCACCTTACAGCGAATTACCTGTACCAGGAAGGAGGTGTCTGCAGCTCGTCCCCAGGGGTCGAGGCCGGTCTCCTTGGAGAGATCCATCGTCACTCTGGCGAGAAACACAGTGCCCACGCTGGCCACGGTGGCAGCTGAGGCCGTCAGCGCACACAGGTAGACGAGGAAGTACCTGAAGTTCCGGGCGCCGATGCAATTGTTCACCCAGATACAGTGATGGTCGAAGCGGAGCACACACCTGTTACACACCCCTGCACAGAAGCAGGGCCACACACACCTGTGGGACCCTGACACGCTGGCCACTGGCAGAGCACAGAGGGGAGACTGAAGGGAGACTGGAAGGTGCTACTGACACATTTAGAGCTGCTTTTCAAAGGATGCAACAGCTTTGAATTCACTGAGCTATCGCTCATGCCATGTTCCGTGCCTTCCAGGCAGCTCAGACTCAGAGCAACCCTTGAGAACAGGGCAATCCCTGCCCGATTCTGTGCCTCACAACCTCTGCTGAGCTAAAGCTGACGACGCCCCAGGGACAGATACAGGTTCATGGAGTCCCCTCTGCCTCCAGGCGACCCCCCGTGTCACAGAGAACTTCTCCCGCTCAGATTTCTGAAATGTTCCCCTCCAGATCAAGCCCACGTGGCCCTCCTGGGGGGTAGGGCCCTCACTCACTGCAATGCTTGGAGAGAGGTAGCTTCCTCAGGTCACAGACGGAACACCTCACGTTCTTGGGGAACATCACGTTGTCGAACTCGTAAACATGAACAAGTGTTGCTTCATTTGCTTTGGTTATGGTTCCTGAGAGGAGGAAGGACATGGGTCAGCCGCTAGCAGTTCCGTGGACAGGACGTTCAGAACCGGCCAGCAGAGCACAACTGAGCCTGTTCGTCAGCCGTCCGCTAACAGCTTCAGGGAAAGCACTCCCACAGCCCGCCCAGGCAGCCAGGGAAAGCGGGCCTCCACCACCACGACCCACTGTGGAACCCCTGCATCCCTCCTCCCTGGGAACCACTCCCTGCGGCCTCTCTCCTCTGCCCTCTGCAGCCACTCATATGCTTTCTGTCTTGAAGGAAAGACAAACAGGGAAAAAAATTAAAATGCCATGCTGCAAAATCTTAAACAGCTACGAGTGATCACTAGATCCAAGGAGAAAAAAAACCTCAAACTAGAAAATATTCAAACAAAATCAAACCCCCCAAACTCCAGATCTAGTGTTGAGCTGAGTCAGCGGCATACGGAATCTTTATGGAAGCAGACGGCCTGTCCTCATCCCAGGGACTGGGCAGTGTGTCTGAACCACTCAGTGGCTGAGAGTTTAATCACTGTACCACAAGGGCTCTTACACAAAGATGTAAAAATATCTATCAAAAAGAGAAACTGGTGGGGTCAAGTATGCTGAAAGATCTAAAAGAGTTCTAAATAATCCCTGGGTCAAAAGGGGGAAAATAAAATTACAAAATAAATACTTAAAACGACAACAATTCAAATGCACTGCTGCCGAGTCGATCCCGGTTCTGGGGCGACTGTGGGGCAGGGCAGAACTCCTCCCGCCCCAGAGTCCTCCACACACGTGGCTTTGGGCTGGCAGCCAAGCGTTTAAACCCCAGCACCACCACGGCTCCTAGAAAACACTGTGAAATGACAGATGACAGAAACAGGACCTTGTGCCCCCTCTGCAGAGCACGGGGCAGCGTGGCCAGCAGTCCCCACCACGTGTGTGCAATGACACCATCAGGCATGTCTGCGAAGACCCTCAACTAACCAGGGTCTGTCACACAGGTGAGCGTGAAGAAGATGAAGGTGACCAGCAGCAGCAGGTAGGGCAGGAGCAGGAGGCACGAGGGGAACCCCGCTTCCTGACAGTGGTGGATTATCTCCCAGCTGTACTCGCCATAGACCAGGCCTTGCAAGGTGAGGTGCAGGATGACGAAGGTGGGGTTTCTGCAAGAAGGCAGGTGCGTGGCTCGCTCACGGGGGCCACGCGGGAGGAAACCTTCCAGTGAGGAGAAAGCGGCCACTGGCCGCTCTGACCTTGAGACAATGGGGAGAAGTCACCGGGAAGTTGTGGGTCATTTCACACAAAGTGCTGCTGTGGTTGGCAGGTCGCGAGCCCGCATGACAGAGGGGACCTGCCCTGTCCTATCACGAGTTGGCAGGGGAGCAGACTGCTGGGACCTGCATGGTTTTCAAGGCCAGGTTTTGGGGAGCAGTGCACCAGGCCTTTCTGCCAAGCTCTCTCAGTCTAGAGGCTTCACTGAGCCCTACTCAGCATCAGAGCAATGGGCCAGTTGCTGCGGACAGATGAGCGAGGGCTCCACACGACATGCTGGGCAGGAATCACCCACATTTTGTCGGGTACTGTCAAGTCAAAACCGACCGACTTGAACTCACAGCTGACCCTCCAGTGGGTTTTCAGAGGCTATAAAACACATAGGAGAAGGCTGCCCATTTTTCTCCCCCAGAGAGGCTGGTGGATTTGAACTGTGTGCCTTTGGGTTGGCAGTGCAACTCCTTACTACCAAACCATCAGCGTTTCCTAATCAATCCCTACCATGAAGGTGAGAATCCTATCACTGAGCCACTGCCGCCTTCCGGGAGGGCATGGAGTTGCTCTAGCTGTGGGGGCTTCTGAGTCCACTGGGGTGGGTTAGGAACACAACACAGCAAGCGTCTGCCCGGTCCTGCCCTGTCCCCACAATCCTGGCCATGCCGGAGCCCAGTGTTGCTGTCCCCGTGCCAGTCCGTCTCACTGAAGCCTTCCTCTTTTCCCCAGACCCTCTGCTCTGCCAAGCATGATGCCCTTTCCAGGGGCTCAGCCCTCCCGATTACACGTCCACAGTGCAGCTCAGCACACACTAATGACCCAGGAAATGTATGTCATGATTCTCTCTTCAGAACTGAGCTCTCAATACCAGAGCCTGTTTCTTTTCACTGAACTATTTGTCAATATTTTCCTACTCTTTAAAAACAGTTCTATTAAAAAATGATTCAATTTTGTGTGTTGTGCAAAGAATCCAGCAAGCTGGGTTGTATGAGAAGGGATGTGGCATCAGGATCAGAGGAAGACTCACACCGTCACGGAGAAGCAGACGATAGGACACAGCACTGGGTGCTCAACAGGAAGCTTCGAAGCCCTGAGTGATGACACCTGAAGACAAGAGCCTTCAGCATGGCTTGCACCGCAACATAAAGAAAACAGAAGTCCTCATAGCTGGACACAGCATGACACATGTAGAAAAGACTGGAGTCATCAGAGGACTCCCTTTCACTTGGACTGACGATCGATGCTCTCGGAAGCAGCAGTCAGGAAATCACAGAAGACTGCACTGGGCAAATACATCACAAAGGGCCTTTTGAAAGTGCCTAAGGGCAAGGACGTCACACCAAGGCCTGTGAGGCACCTGACTCAATGATATTTTCAATTGTCTCACATACACGTGAATGCTTGGTGATGACAGAAAAACTGAAGCCTTTGCATTGAGGTGCTGGTGAAGACGCTGGATGTGCTGTGGGCGGACGAAGGAACACACACACCTGTCTCGGAGGAAGTCCAGCCCGTGTGCTTCTGAGAAGCAGTGACAGCCCGATTCCACCTCGTGTACCTTGGGCCTGTTGTCAGAGAGAGCTGTCCATCCCTGGAGACCCTCCAAAGCTGGGAAAGTGGACGGCAGAGCCTTGCTGTGATGGGCTGCCGCAGTGGCTGTGACACGGCACGCACACGCGCGCACACACTCTCTCTCTGGACGGCAGAGTCTTGATGCGATGGGCTGCCGCAGTGGCTGTGACACGGCACGCACACGCGCACACACACTCTCTCTCTGGACGGCAGAGTCTCGATGCGGTGGGCTGCCGCAGTGGCTGTGACATGGTACACACGCGCGCGCGCACACACACACACACACACAC